AAGCATTACTTATCATCCACAATATTATAATCCATGGTGCAAATGGTTTTAGAGAATAATCTTGAATTTTGTATTTTGTTTTACTTTTATCATTTTTAATTATTTCATTCCAGGCCTCATTGTACGTATTATTAATAGAAATTTCACAAGGCAATAAAACTTCACCAATATTTTTTCCAAAAGTATTTAAATAAGAGTTAACCTCTTCAGCAATTTCAACCAAATCATTTGCTTTCCAACTAGAACTATATTAAAAAAATAATTTTAGATAAAGTTAGAACAAATTAAAATAAATTTTAATTGAATTTTACCTTCTGTTAATCTTGCAAAAAGTATAAATATTTAATCCATTACAATAAAATGTAAAAAATAAAATGTATTGTAAGAAACAAACAAAACAGACAAATATATGCCATAGATTTGATACTATTAAACTCACACCAAAATATAAAATATATATAAAAATTAGAATTAAAAAACTATATCTATAAATATCAACATTATTAACATTAGTATCATTAAAATTATTACTATAGAGGCTAAAAATACCAAGTAACAGATAAATCGTAAAAATAATAGAGAATATTAATGTAATAATATTAACACTATAAATAATAATACAAATCATTAGTTTAAATAATAACTGATAATATAAATTGGTAATGTAAATCTTAAAAAATATACATACATTTGAGGTTTGTTAACAAATACAAAACCAAAATGCATGCCAGTAATTGCGACATAAATCCAAATTAAAAGTTCCGTACGATAATGATTAAACAATGAAACTAACAAAATTACAAAAACCGAACAAAAAATGCCCTAGAAAAAATAATAGATTAATAATATTGAATAAATATAACAGATCTTAGTATTTTATAATTACCGAAATAAACCATGAAAAAAGAAAATGTAAAGTTTGATATATAATTTTAATTTGTAAGCAAATTTTACAGAAAGTTGAATGCCCGCTTCTCCAAATATAATAAAAATGCACAATTGCATAAAAGCTGGTATAGAAATATTCATTTAATTTACAAATATATTGTTGAATCATTTCAGGCAAATTTTCAGGTATATCTACTTCAGCTATGGATGAATTTTCATAATATAATATCCAAGAAGAGTTGTGTTTAGAAATTAATTCAAAACAAAAGACATTATTCTTAGCAAGGTAATCATTATTAGCGAGAATATTGTTATAATTTGATGCATCTTCAATATCATTTGTAATATCCTGAAGTGCAGAATACCGATAGGCAGAGAAGTTATTCGGAAAAAAGGAAATATATCCAAAGATTGATTCGAATGGTTTATTTATAATATTAGAAATTTTACTCTCAAAAATCATGGCGCCAACAACTGGATTTAACAATTTGATCCAACTTCTATGATTCACAACATCTAATTTACCACAAGTACCGGCAACTTGATCATTATTAAATGCTTTCCACAGATAATAAATAGAATTGTTGGCTAAATAGTAAATTATAATGTAAAAGTAAATATTAAATCTACAATATGTAAATTATTTCACAACTGTAATAGATTAAACAATAAGTGACAATTCATGATTCTCTGGTTTTATATTTGTTGTTTTTTGCTGCAAACTAGTCTGAAAATAGATTATCAATTATACAGATTACCCATAATATGTAATATATATTTAATCATTAATGCCACCGATAGAGTAATCTATTACATATAAATTTATTTTCTAACCTGGTCTAACGCCAACATCAATAAGAAGGCATATTCTTGGGTTAAGGATCGGACAGAAGGCATTAAAAAACCACTGATGAGAACCAGTTTTTCCTTTGCTTTTTTCTTTAAGACAAAAAATTATCTGAGTTGAAGCAATTGTTTTCTTATCCACGGAATCCTTAGAGCATTGAATTGAAATCTGAGTTGTATATTCATATATATGAGCTCTAACTGTTTTATTATTCACTTTTGATTTTGCAATGCCATCCTGATAAACACCAAGAGCCTTTAAATAAGATAAAGTACGTTTATTAATCTTATTACGGTCTGAAACTATGCATATGATAATCTTTTTCCATCCGTCTTTTCCCTAATTAAATTTAAGAAGTTATTAATAATAGAAAAGAATTTTAAATTATAATAAGTACGTACCCATGTTGGGGACTCTGTAAGCGAGCAAAGGTAAGCAATATTTTCTATAACTCTGTGAAGAGTACTGGATAATAGAACTTCGTCCTCCTATTAAATATATTGAAGACATTAGTATAAAAAAATTGTCAATATATCAGATGTATTACAAACAATCTCTATTTCCCTACATCATTTATAGTTATTAAGATAAATAACTCGGTCTGTCTCATAGGTTCACACTCAACTTGACGGAGAGTAAAATTTTCTTGCTTGAAAGAGTCTGGCTTGCTTGTGCAGGCAGTATATCTCATATGTGTAAATTCTTTGGAACTTTCATGAGGATTGTTTGTTAATAAGCTTGAATGCACAGGGCATTCAATTATCAAATTTCCATTTATTAATTCAATAGGCTTTATTATTTTATGCTGATCAGCAATCGATATGAGACCATTAAAATTTGGAGGCGATAATTTACTATAGCTAAAGGAATGCTCATTTAATGATAAATTGTTAAAACCCAAACTACAGAAGAAAAAAAAAAGATTAATTATTAAAAAAAATAGTAGTTTAACAGAATAATAAAGTTACAATATGACGCAATCAGAAGCCATCAAAAGGTTAAAAAAAAACATTCTAGTAAATTATCTTCAAATGCACATGCCTCTTTATATGTGCGGTTATTTTAGTCTGTCAATAAATCATTGTGGTATTAAATAGTATTATTCTGTCAATCTATATAAATACCTTAATCTCATTACTTTCTCCAATAGCATACACTTAGAAAGGATTCATTATAACATTTACCATGAATTTTTATTTACGAGCCGTTTAATTAAAAAAGTAGAGTCGCCAAAAGCGTTGATTTAAAAATAAGTGAATCAATTACCTGTTGATTGCATTTTTACAAATGCAATAATCATATTCATTTAAATAATAATCTTCATTGGGATATAATTCGGGCTGTGTAATTGTTTGATTTATGTTATTTGTAATGAATTCAATAACTGGTTCAACCAATAATTTGTCAAGTTCCTTTAAAATATTATTCAGTGTTGGACGCCGGTCCATATTAGAGGACCAACATTTCCTGTAGAGAATGGTATATTTTGGGGGAGTATTGTCAATAGTTTTTTCTCTTTTTTTTTGTGAAATTAAAAGCATTATTTGTGGATCGGAAAAATGTTGAAATGGACGAACTCCACTTGTAAGTTCCCAAAGCAAAACTCCCAGGCTATAAATGTCAGACTTTTGATCTGGTTTTTTATTTTGGAGATAATATTGTGGCTCAATATATGCTGGTACTCCTCCCATACTTGAACTTGATGTAGTAGTATCATTTAATTGTTTTGATATTCCAAAATCTGTAATTAAAGCTCTACCATCATTTATCAGAATATTCTTTGCATGCTAAAGAAATTTATATAAGATTGCATTAACTTCATTTATATTAGATTGCATTAACTTCATTTATATAAGATTGCATTAACTTAATTTAGATAAGAATTAGAATTCTTTTTAAACTTACCAAATCTCGATGAATGATGTTTTTTTCGTGTAAATGCATTAATCCAAGTGTGATATCCTTTGCGATCTGGATGAGTTCAGTCCATGAAATTTTATAAATATTCTTTATTCTTTTACTTTGTAAATATTCTCGTAGGTTACCACCAGTAGAAAGTTGTAGCACTAGCATAAAATTGCCAGTCGACGCTTTTGAAATTTATAAAGATTTTAGGAATAGAATTTGTTGTTTTAAGATTACATTCGTCTTTAGATTAAATTTATACCTTGTGAGATTCCATAGAACTCTACAACGTTAGGATGATTGGTTATGTAAAGAAGCTTAAGCTATAATATATTCAATTGAATAGTATTTAGCAATTTAGTATAGATACGAAAATTAAATAAGGAATAATATTACATAAGGAATAATAAATTACTTCACGTTGTAATAGGTTAAATTCTTTTTCATCTAAACCCAAGTTATTGTGTAGGCTTTTTAATGCATACTTTTTTTCTTGGAAAGTAGCTGAATACACAGTTGCATATGCTCCATTTCCGATGATTTTGATATTTTGAAATTGTGAATAATCAAAATTTTTTACATTGTATTTATTCAAATACGACTTTAATTGCTCCGAATATTCAATTACTAATATTATATGAGTTAATCTACTATACAGTGATAGCATAAATTAAATTTTATTAAGGTAAAAACTTACATGTTTTCTCTGACATGACTTTTGGTTAGAGATTATTTAAAATTTTATTAGAATTGCAAAATAATTAATCCTTAGTCAATATTGAGAACGAGAGATTCTGAAAGGGATAGCTCAATACTGTACAGTACTATTAAATAATAAGCTCGGAGAAACATTTTAAATAAATCCGTCAAAATAGATAAATAAGCTATAAATAAGGAAGAATACATCTTCAAATAGAAAGTAGTGTCACCGCCGTATGGGAGAACTTCCATTGTTGCGACAAGGGAGAGACTTTATAACCGTGCTGCCAATTCAACTCTGGTCGGAAGCATTAAAAGTAGGAAATTAATTATTTATTGTCGCAGCTGATGCTGAAATTTGAAGTCTCAATTTGAAAATATAAACCCTGCTAAAATTCACGTACACTTTTTAATTATCAATTCTAGCCCTAAATCCTAACCTATCCCTAAAAAAAAAAGTGGACAAAAACAACACAAAAAAATTTTAAATTTTCATATCAAAATAGGTCCGAATTTCAGCATCAGCTGTATTACGTACGTACGTACGTACGTACGTACAAGACACTAAAAATACTAAAAAATACA